ATACTAAGTTTATGAGTCATTTCTGGAGGAGTTTGTGGGAGAAACTTGGAACGAAATTGAATTTTAGCAGCGCATACCATCCCCAAACAGATGGTCAGACTGAGGTAGTGAATCAGAGTTTGGGAAATCTTTTGAGAAGCTTAGCCGGGACTAAACCGAAGCAATGGGATTTGGCATTACCTCAAGCAGAGTTTGCTTATTACCGATCGAGAAATAGAACCACCGGACTGAGTCTTTTTGAAATTGTCTATGGTCGGAACCCATCCAGAGTACTTGATTTGGCTCCAATTCCACGTGTGGGTCGCTTCAATAACAAAGCTGATGAGATGGCTGAACATCTTCGAGGTATCCATGAGCAGATGAAGCTGTCCATACAGGATAGTAATACTAAGTACAAAGTTTGGGCAGATAGTCATCGACGCCAGATGTTGTTTGATGTGGTGATTTTGTTTGGGCAGTATTAACACATGATCGTTTTCCAGCTGGGGAATACAATATGCTAAAGGAGCGGAAGATTGGACCTTGTGAAGTACTGCAGAAGATCAATGATAATACTTACAGGTTGCGCCTCCCTAGCCATTTGAAGACCTCTGACATCTTCAATGTAAAATACCTAAGCTCTTGTTTTGTGGAGTCCGATGAAGTCACTGTGAATTCGAGGGCGAGTTCTTTCGAACCCGGGGCGATTGATACAGGAGGATCCGAGTCGAGTGATGTTGATTTGTCAGATAACACGATGATGGCGCTGAGATACCATGAGATGGCGGATCGGCGCAAAGATGGAAAGTGAATCACCATTATTTTCTTAATTGGGGGAATTTGACGCGTCTTTGGTAATTTAACCATAACTTTGGCTACGGTTATCGGAATCGCTATTATGACCCCAATCCGAAAAGATTTCTTCGGCATGCACGTTGTGGCCATCCAGCTATGCTCGGTGGACGTCAATTTCAAATCCAAAATCCACTGTTTTTCTTTCCAAAATTCAATTTTAAGTTATTTTTTACTATTTATGGTAATATTTCGTTTCCTTTTTTCATATGTTAGAAAACTCGAATTGAGCCAAATTTTTGGCAATTTACTTCTTTTACTTAATATTTTATTTTGGTATAATTTCGGGATTTTGCCATTTTTGGTAATTTTCCCACAATTTCGTATTTCGCAGCTATTTAACTCGGCTTGTAGGTTAATTTTGATCATTCTACATTATTAATAATATTGAGTTGAATTCAGAGTATTTTCTCTGGTTTTTTGGCGTTTTCTGTCGTTCTTTTCTTACGAATCATCTACTATAACAAGCTAATAGGATAATCACTATCTTACCCGGCATCATTTCCTGTGTGGCATTTCTCTAGAAATGATATTTTATTCAATTTTTCGTTGTTTACTCCCCTTTGTGCACGTATTAAACATTAGAATTTTCAGTTCTTTATGCTTTTCGTGTGTGTATGGGTTTGTTTCATTTTTATTTTTATTTTTTTATTTTTTGATGTCATTTTCAATGCTACAATTCTTTCACTATTTTCCTTGTACTACTACAATCCTTAGGCATTCGGGTCGCAGAGAATGCCAATGAAATTTCTATTCTCAATTTGACAGGTCTCACATTTGAATACTTCGTAATTTGAAAAGCTTAATTCCCTTTTTTTGGCTGCACTCATTTGAGCTTAGACTTGTTCATTATAAGATTGCAACTCTAACTTGTGGTCTTCAATTTCAATTTTACCAGTGCTAGTATTTATTTATTGTCAATTTTCATATAAACCTGATCAACACGTCTCTAGTTTTCAACTTCCACATGCTTTCTCACACCTACAGAGAAGGTAACCAGGTTGCACTCTCTTGCTTCAGAGGGTTGGGATCACCAGCGTTACCACGAATATGGACCACTTGACCTGCCTCGACAGATTAGGGCATTGGTGCAAATCGACAGACATGGATTGCCCAGCTTTAGAGGTTTGTAGTTTAGGCTATCATTATTTCATCTTTCTTGTACAAGGAAGTAGTACTTCCTCATTTAATTTGTTCATTTTTAATTTTTCATTTGTTGCACTATTGCTTTAAAAAAAAAAAAAAAAAACTTCCACATGCTTTCTACCCCTATTGTAATATAATCAGTGGCAGATCTAGGATTTTGAGTGAGCAGGTGATCGTTGACAGTTGACCATTAATGATGAAAACGAAAACCAATATCGTGAATTGAAATTACTTGTGTTGTAGTTCGAATTGCAAAGATAGATGTATATTATCTATCAGTGTAATGATATTTATCAAGTAAGAATTTCAAGTTTGAACATTGGTCAAATTACTTAAAGGGTGTTCTCTTCGTGTTTCAGTTTTATAACTTTGAGTTTTGAATTCATTTTGAGTTTTGTGTTTTGAGCGTTTGTTTTGAAATTGTTGAAAATGCGTTCTTTTTATTAATCCGAAAAATTATTCCTCAAAACAAAAAAATGAAAAACATGTTTCCTTTGAAATTTTGAGAACCACTATGACACCACCAACCATTGCCAAAATCAACCAAAATTGACCCCACTGCCAACACCATGAACCATGAGCCATTGCCACCATCGTCCACAACCACCAACAAATCGAATGCAAGAAAAAAACCACTACCACCATCATCCACAACCACCAACACCACCGACCACAATCGTCCACTACCTCCATCAACCACTGCCACCACTGTCCACCACCATCCCAACCACCAACACCTTCAATTGCAAGAAAAATGCAGGAAAAAAATAACCAGCAACACAATCAAAATTGGTTCATGGACTGCCGGCTTGATTCGGCCCTATTGCTTCGAAATTGGTGATGAGCCATGGGTTCATTTGGTGCGCCATGATGAGGCGGTGCTAGGGATGGTGGTCCATGACCTTAGGTTGCGTCGTCGGCGTCGAACATTATGGTTGAAGGGTTCAAGTTTGCTATTGCAAAAGACAGCGCATCTCCTTCGTTACGACGCTACGTTCACAGCAGCGTCACCTCCCCCACACAGGCGTGGGCACCGATCATCTCTCTTCGTAGTCGGCGTCATCCTTTGTAGTCGGAGTCCCAGAAAAGAGAAGGCAGAGCTGCATTTTATACTGAAAACGAAAAGAGAAGGAAGGCTTTGAAAAGAAAAATAAAAGCATTTCCGTGTTTTCAAATTTGTTGAGCTTTGTATTGAAAATGTCCAAAATGAAAAAAATGTCGTTTCGTGTTTTTATCAC